CACCAACACGTTTAAAACCCCCCCCCCCCCCCCAGAACAATAATGTGACTGAAGCCAACTTGCTACTGAAAAACATTGGCTGTGGCTTTAAATCTAGCAAGGTGCCTAGTGCCTACATAGACAGCATTTTGGACAGGTGTGCTTAAGAGTCTGCTGCTGAAAGCTTGGAACTACAACTAAAATACTGCACCAACAAAAAGTACCAAAGTGTACAAATATTCATACCTCGGTTTTATATGTAATGTGGAAATACCATGTTTTAGGACAAGAGTAACATCAATTTCATTTTTTTTACCCATGCTATAGCAATTTCATGTTTTTTGACTGGTACCATGGATTTGGACCATGGATGTACCATGCCAATACCATGTTTTCTGACATTTACTATGCTATTGTCATGACCTTTTTAGCACATTTACCACAATTATACCATGTTTTTTTTTGTACATGCATGCACACAATCACACTCATATATTTATGGGGTTCAGTATGATTTTTCATTTTAATTTTTTATTTGCCATGGCAATACCAAGGTTTCTGTCTGGGCATATACCATGGTATTCTTTTAAGCACTACATAAATACCACGGTACATGAACATGGTATTCATTCAGCACCATGGTATAACCATCTGATACCATCACTATATACCAAAACAGTACACTTTTGCAAGGGTGTAATCTCAGCAAGGCACTCGTCTATGATGCCTAAAATATGGTGTCTAGGTAGTCAGCCCAGTAGGTATTAAGACGCAGACATTATGAAAATCAAATGTAACGTTAGACTGTCATGCTGGATTCAGACTCTCTAGCGAAGAAAGTTGAACTGCGAGCGTTCATAAAGACTGAAGGCAAATTAAAAGCAGCTGGACCCTTGACTTCACGAATACTTGAACCTAATATTAATCTAAAGACCTTTAACTGTTTTCCTCAGTCTAATAGTAAGTGTTAAATTCAATCAATAAAGCAAAGCAGTTCTTGTAAACGCCATGTATTACGTGACAGCAGCGCATTCATCACTGCTGACAAGAGAGCTTTAACTCTGCCTCATGTCAATGACACCCTTTGCCATCTGTTTTTACTAAAACCTGACTTACTCTATGACAAATGTGGCATATTAAACACGCACCAGGCGCCTCAAAAACAATGTATTACCGTACAGAGACTGCGAACTTCAAACAGTCGCCATCTTGAACACCTCACGTCCTTTCACCCTGCTGAGCTGTTTGCGCAGATGAAAAATTTCATATACGTAACGATCCCAGCGAAAGTGCAATCCGGAGCTGAGGGGTTATGGGTTGATGTTTAATTATAGAAAGCATACTGACCGACTCTTCTGTCTCGCTGTCACAAGATTACGGCATGAGTGACAGAAAGGTCTGAAGTGCTGCACTATTGGCTGTGCTGTGCAATGAGAGCTAGCTAAGCATGCAGCGGCTTCAGCGAGACAGAAGCTCAGCGCATGCGCGGAGCTTTAACGGACAAACAGGTTTATTTACAAGTAGCAAACACACTGTTTAAAATGTATATGCCTATAACTAAAAATATAATTCTACAACTTATTTCAACATACACTGACAGTGCACATGGCAAAAATGTACACCCTGATGATAATGGAATAATAAAGGAAGTATCCTCATCACAAACCACGTTCACGTTATGCACATTTGTGTGCTCATAAACCATATAAACCTGCGCGAGCACACACACACACACACACACACACACACAGTCTGGTTCACTATGAAACAACACTTAATTTACTTTATTTTTTACACTATTTCTACAAATGTCAACATCCCTAAAAGAATTACCCCTCACAGAAAACTTTGTGCATTTTTACAATCTGAAAAAAAAAACAAAAAAAAAAACTCATTCTGTATGATTTATAAGCTTCTGTACACAAGTCCCCATGAGTTGGTGTGTATTCAGGTTTAAGTCAACACCAATATAGAAAACATGTACACACATCAATTACACACACGCGTGCGTGCGCACACACACACACACACACACACACACACAAATACACAGAGGGACAATCAAACACAAGCAGGAGTCTCTGCTGATTGAATAAACAGAGATAAAACAGAAACAGTTAGATGGTAAATGTCATATCCATAGGCATAATGGTTTTTATACTGTACAAACTGTATTTTCGCAAGCGCACACACACACACACACACACTGTATTAAATAAAACAAAAAAACAACAATAATAACAATAATACTAGTAATAATAATAATGTTGAATTGGTATCATCATTATTACTAACAACAACAATAATTTAAAATTATTATTTATTACTATTGTTATTGTTGTTGTAAATTATTATTATTATATAACATTATTATATAATAATCATTATAAATACCAAAGCAAAAAGTGCAAAATATTCAAGTGCCAAATTAATTAAAGTTACTGATGTGACCAACTAAGGATATAACAGAGAAAGGAACACATCTATAACTGCTTTAGTAAATTAAATGTACTAAATATACTAAATTACGTTTTCAAAATATCTCTTTCATTAACTAAGTACAAACAAACCAGTCTGTATTTCACTGAGTTCTTCAGTTAATGCTGTTTAATTATAGCCTGTTAAGAGGTATTAGTTAATGTTGTGAGGTTGCTAATGTATATCTGATTTATTAATTGTTCAAGGGAGAATATCAGAGAGCTATTAGCAAAACTTCCCAGAAAGGACAGCAACCAGATAAGACCCTTACAACATTTACAATGAGCACTGGGGACCTGATCCTGAGCAGAAGACCAATCAGAAAAAAAGTGGACATTGAGACTGTCCAGGTGCAAACCCAGATAACACTCCAGCTTCATGCTGATATGCCTGATATACTGACATGGTATGAAAATGATGTGAGTGCTGTGAAGCCAGCAGTTATCTCTACAGTGAGCTAAATTTAATCCATCTCTGCTGCTCTTTGTTTTTGATCCCACTTATTCAGCATGCCCACTCACACTTCTAGATCCCCTGGCACAATGTAGTAGTGGTCTGGCAAGCCCCTCACCACTTCAGACAAGTATGATTGAACCCTTACAGCAATTACCTTCATAGCATCAGCACTTGAAAATTTAGTGTGCATACCATAAATGATCTTGTTTTAAACTCTTAACTTAATTTAATGTACTTTATCAAGAAAAAATCCTCAGTAATATGAGTATAAGTATTGTTCTCTTTTGTTGTTCTTGTTAAAAAAGATTATTAAAAATTAAATTACATTAAATTGAATTAGCAAAGATGAATTCAACAAAAGTGATAGTAAAGACATTTATAATATAATAATAATAAATAAATAAATAATAAAAATAAACTTTATTTTAGTGCCTTTAAAAGAGGTTCTCAAAGTGATTTATAATATTTCTACTTCAAATAAATGCTGTTCTTTTGAACTTTCTTTTTATCAAAGAAACCTGACAAAATGTATCATGGTTTTCACAAAAATATTAAGCCGCACAGCTGTTTTCAAAACTGCTATAAAAAGACTGTTACCTGAGCACCAAATCAGCATGAATGAAGGATCATGTGACACGAAGACTGGAGTAATGGAAGACTGCCATCACTGGAATAAATCACATATTAAAATAAATTAAAATATAAAACAATTTGAAGTTGTAATAGTATTTCACAATATTACAATTTTTTATGTAATTTTGTGTACTTTAATGTGCATACCATAAGTGATCTTGATTAAATAATGCTTTATCAAGGAAAAAAAAACTCCTATTCAGCATGACTTGTTTTGTTTTGTTGTAATTGTTACAAAAGATGACAATTGAAAATTAAATTAATTCAATCAAATTTTAAAAATTAAACATTTATAGATAAAATATTATGTTACTTTCATAAAGCTGAAAACTCAACTATGAACTAAATATGCATTCCTGAGACTTCAGATAGCATTACAAATTTCTCAGATGGTTGCCTTGCATTCTCAAGAAAGGCCTGAAGGTCTACTATTACACCATTAGGTGGAGCTATTTTCCTGCCACACGGTTTTGCACGCCTCCTACTCTTCCAGTACACAACACCACAATGATTTTAATGCATCTAGCATAAATCAAACATTAGCATGTAGGTGAAAATATTGTATGAATATAGTAAATAATATTTTGGATCTTGATTAGGAGAGCAGATTTTCTTTATCCCAGCTTCTCAATAATCTTGCTTCTGCAAATTTCCTGCAAGCCTTCTCTGGATTAAAATATAGCTTAAACCAAACCATTATCCTTTGTGTTGCAAATGGCTCTGCCCTAAAGCTCTGCTAAATTCTGAGTGGAAGAGAAAACCACAAGGTTTTAAATGTTGCATGCAGATGCTATGTGTTTCACACCCCGCACGACGCATACACTTCACGGTTTAATTCCAAATAACCTCCTTTAGATTTATCAAAATGTGTGTGTCAGAAGAGATAAAAACATTCAGCTGAATCCTATTTCCCTCTACGCTAATAGCACCATTACAAGGCTGTGTCTGTTTTTGTTGTACTGGATAATTATGTGCAAAAGCCTCTTCATTAGGCACCGTTCAGAATAATTAAACAGACATTTTGGATAGGTCTTTTTTACATGTGGTATAGAATGATTTCAATTATGCATGCAAAGAACCACGTGTTTCAAAAAAGTTGATCAAGCATACAGCCAGTATGGCTGGAACATTACTGGTTTCAACAACATTACATTTCCAGGAGTCTCACTTCAACCCAAAAGGAATTTGCAATTTAAAAAATCTAAATATGCTCAAATATTAAATCATGTAGGAAAGCTGCAGAGTGATTTGCTTATATTTCCAATTCATGGGTGTACATGCATTGTATAGCTTGCATTCGAATTTGTGTAGAAGATACATATCAGGGTTCCACCCAAGTGAAATCACGCTAAACAAGCAGTGCAGCGTGTATTATATAGTGCACCACCACTGCATGATCCAAACTGACACGTTGGGAGCTGAGAGCCAGTTTGAGACTAACTCTACTGGTATCATTTATTGAGAGCCTGAAAAATCTCAGTAGCAGTTCGGCTGCCATCTCCTCTCATCCACATTCCCTTGTCTCGCAGAGATCCACACTTCAGTGCTCTGTGTATTGCTGTCTAATGATTCCCGTTATTTTAATAGAGTCCACAGATCACATAACTTCATTGTGCGGTGAAACTAGTCTAAGGTAACAGATAATAAAAAAAGAGTAGGCTTGTCCTGAAAAGAGGGTGATGGTTATTTGATCTGTGTATTTCTCCTGTCCTGCTGTTGTTCACTCAAGTGATGTCATGTTTTAATCCCCCTCTGCATGTGTTTGTGGGTGCGAGACTAATATGCAAAGCGCAGTATGCATGCTATATGTGCATGTGACGAAGCTGGCATATATATACTTTTAGAGCATACAATCAATGACTCATTGTAAATCCTATTCATTGGATTGTGAACTATTTTAGTCACTGTTTACACTGAAAAAAATTGGCATAGGATTTTCCATTTTGAACAATTTTAACCCAGCAATTGCTATTAAATTTGACAAATAATTACAAAGAAACAGCAAGTAACATTGAATAATAGTATTTGAGTATTTTCTTGCAAAACATGCTCCAATAATTTTTGTTTTATTTACTACAGTACTTCAAAAAAATAATATTTTACAGTGTACTGAGTCATATCTCAAGGAAATGATTGGGTTTAAGACAACATCAATGCAACTGCCAACAGCAAACTTGATAAATAATAACCTACAGGTACAAGGCTTGCACTTGCTGTACCCAAACAAGATTTTTAAAATCGAAATTCCATCCACGTCTGACTTAAGTTGTAGTTTTTTTTATCCCTGATAATGAGTGATGTCCTCCCAGGCACCAGTAATGATGTAATCTAAATGCAACATCAAAATGAGGCATTTCTTTTCCTCCACACTAGAATACATATATAATTTCTCTGTTTGATGTCATTTTTCTTACAGACTTTTTTTATAAGAAGTCTTCATATGCTCGATTTGTCTTATAAAACGCAGTGTTCAAGTTACTGTGTCTGGAAAAACAACACTTGCAACTGAAGCCGGAGATGCTTGTTTCCTTGGTAACGGGGGTCTCGTTGAATTTCTCCATTGCACTCGAACACGCCTGCTCTGTATCTATCTACGTGTGATAGATGGAGACAAGCTCACTGTTTTAAATGAAGGGAAAACAAGTATATCGACAGTTTGGCATGTAAACGATGATAATGAATGTATAAGAATGACATGGATTTATCAGTTTGTCATAAACGGATTTTTCACAAAGACACAAGCAGGGCTACATTAACCTGCAATGTGTCATATAAAAAGGAAACCAAGATACACATCTAAATGTAACCAACAGGTTAATGTGAAAGCATAAATGGCACGATTCTATAATAGCCTAAACCGGTTTGTCTGGTTGCGTCCGTGTGA